AGCTTGTTGCGACAGCCAATCCGAAGCATTGATTTCAAAATGCAAGCATCAGATTGGCTGTTGCAACAAGCTTGCGATCAGCTTGCAACTAATGTAGAACCGGCTTAAGATATAGACATGTATGGCTATGGAGTAGCGAGTGTATCTATTGTTTTTATATGCCATGGTTCCAGATTTGACAGCATGGTTTGCTAACCTAAAAAGTTGCCGCCTTGCATCAAGATGAATGTAATTATTAATTTAATTATAATACTTTGGTCACATTCATTCATCTCAAACTGATAAATATCCGATTAAAAATTAACTAAATTGGTAAGTCTGACAACAATCTGGTTATAAATTTTTTAATTGTGTATATTTTTATTTAATTTTTTTTCGAATGATTACATGTTAAAAATTCTTGATTTTATTTTCACAATTACAAATTTATAGTATTCTTATATATTTTTGCAGGTCCAAGATATTCGGGAGATTTTGTTTCTAGCTTAAATTTAATGTCATAATATTTGACATTTAATATACACCTAAAAATGGTTCAAATAAGTGAAAGGGATATTGTAACTATAGGCGGAGTCCTAAATGACTCCGCCAGGCCACTGAAGGAGAGATTCCGCGCTCTGTTCACCCTGAAGAACATCGGCGGGGCAACGGCGATAGAACAGATTCACGCGTGCTTCAAGGATCCGTCGGCGTTGTTGAAGCACGAGCTCGCGTACTGCCTGGGTCAGATGCGGGATCCCGCGGCAATTAGTATCTTAACGGATGTCCTGGAGGACCTGTCACAGGAGCCGATGGTACGTCACGAGGCTGGTATGTGTTTGCCATGTACAAATCTCTCGTCCGACTTTTGGACGATCTGCGCAAAGAGAAACGAAAGGAATAAAGAATCCGTTTTGTTTTTTTTTTTGGTCAGGAGAAGCACTGGGTGCTATCGGTGAGTCAAGTGTAATTCCGTTGTTGGAAAAGTATCGCAAGGATCTTACACCCGAAGTGGCGGAGACGTGCGAGCTGGCCCTGAGCCGCTTGAGATGGTTAGAGTCCAACGGCGACGCAAAGCAGGACCTGCAAAAGAATCTGTACTCGACCGTTGATCCCGCGCCACCGATGGAAGTGACAGACGTGAGTGTCCTGAGGGATACTCTGCTGGACGAGGGCAAGTCGCTGTTCGACAGGTACAGGGCGATGTTCTCGCTGAGAAACCTGGGCACCACAGAGAGCATTCTCGCCCTTGCCGAAGGTAATTATAATCTAATTATAATAATAATCTAAATAATTTAAAGGAAATATCTCCCTCATAGACCTCCACTTTAATATATTTGATAATCTGGTCTAAAAATATTACTATCGAGTATTAGCTAACCGAGTGCTCTTGCTTTGCGCAAAGGTTTGAAGGCCGGTAGCGCCCTGTTCAGGCACGAGGTAGCGTTCGTACTGGGACAACTTCAGAACGAGGCGTCCGTGCCGGGACTGCAGGCGTCGTTGGAAGACACGCAGGAGAATGAGATGGTCAGGCACGAGTGCGCGGAGGCATTAGGCTCCATCGCCACTCCTGAGTGCTACGAGATACTGAACAGATACCTCGACGATAGCAAAAGGGTTGTCCGTGAGAGCTGCGTCATCGCCTTGGACATGTGCGACTACGAGAACAGTGCGGAGTTTCAATACGCAGACACGCTGACCAAGCTTCCCACCGCGTGAAGATAATCCATCTTTGAAATGTTTTATTATATATTGTATTATATAATTGTATTTTCCGAATGAAAGAAGAGAGATGTAAATAATTTCCCTTACAATTAGGCATACATTTTCATGCGTTTGCGCGATGTTTTAAAGGAAAGCTAAGTAAAAGAATTACATTCCTTGTATTTTGAATATATTTTTTTTCCTGCAAATCTAAATTTCCGATATTCTATTTTATCTTTCAGCTGGTACTAATAATAGATTTATAATTGTATCTAAATAGCTATATATAATTATCTGATTTTAAAAAGTTAGAAATTTTAGTAATGCGACGTGATTAAGAATCTCAGCATCGAATCGATCGTAAGCGGGGTATGCGTTTTGTCATCACGTAAGACGTGCTTCTCGTTCCAAGAAAACGGTACAATTGGCAGATTGAATCGCAGTGCTGTATGCGGGTGTACCGCTAATAGCAAACGAGCTCGATAAGGCTCACGATACGAATCGGGGCATTACAGAGCGAAATCGATCAACCGTCTCTGCATTCGTCGCTGAAATTTATTCGTTTATTTCGAAATCTCTCCCCTAATCGCGCTCGGAAGCGCTGTAAGTCGCTGAAAATTCCCTCCCCCGTGATGGAATTCTGAAATTGTCCGTGTTCAGTTTCATGAATATCGCGTGCCGCCTCGCATTCATTGGCATACATTCGTTAGCTTCTATCACTGCACAAACACACGTACGGATCCTTCATACTTTCCGCAGTCAACTGAGATGAATGTTTCTTTTTCCGTTAATCGTACGTTACAACAAATGTGCTACAGGATAACATTCTGGATCGATGGGAGGAGACTTATTATCGGGAAAGACGTTCCCGATTTGGAAAGCGGAGAAGCTTGACTTAGATTGAATAATGAAGCGATTAATCAGAGTCGGGAAAGCAAGACTGACGCATTGTAAATATTGGACAAACGGATGTGTAGCCCGTCAAAGCTTCGGCAGCTAAACACACGTGTACGGGGGATGTACTTAACGGACGAAGAGATCCGCGTTGCAACGTGCAACGAATATATCAATTTCAAAACGTACCTATAATTTTCAAAATAACGTCGAATGTCTTATTAACGAAATATTATTGCAAATCTGGTACCGCGTCTTTATCTATTTTCCCATTGATTAACACATCGTTAAAATATTATTCCATGCACTATACGGAGTGAAAGACAATTCACGCTCTGGGGAGCGTGAAAAAAAAAAACTATTATTCACGACTCGTCTCATATCTTCTTCGCGCGAGGATACTTTGACGATGATTTATTTCTCCCGAGGCTTACCTCTGTCAAGGTATTCGCAACGCTATAACGGAGCCGTTGTAAAATATAAGACGATTCTCGCCAAAGTGGGGAGAGAGACGGACGGGGGTGGTCGATATTAACTGCGAAGCAGTTCCTTCCCCGGTGGTGAACGCGGTGGCGGATAGTCACATGCCGGCCGCGGTCGAGTGCGTCTCGCCGTCGTAACCGCGCGTTCCACCGCCGCTCGTCACATAAAGTAAGCTCCATCGTCAATTTATTTATAACAACTCGCCAAAGTGCACCGACGAGTGTCGCAATTGCAATTCCAGGCAACTACGATCATTTTCCTCCCATTATTTTATCAGTGGGATTTTAAATGTATATATTTTTTTAACGCGCTGATTACTCTTTATAGTTGCACCCTCTGTTGCAAACAATTAACACACGTATTTAAAAATTTTTATAATTTTTGAGGTGTCATTCGGTCTCTTATAATTTTTCATAAAAAGCTTTAGAAATACAAATTACACAAAAAGCTTTAGAATTACAAATAACACAAAAAGTTATATTTTTGTAATTGCGATACTTCTGATTGAAAAACATGGTTAAGTGTCCTAAAAATTCAAGGAAGTTTTTTTGAAAAAATGTGTTTAGATATTTCGAATGTTTTTTAAACTAAAAGTATTTAGATATTTGAAAAATACACATACATCTTTTTTATAATCCATTAGCATTACAGACGCGCGCTTCACGTAAATTACACGTAAATTCATAAGCTACGTAAATTCATTTTTATACATCTGCTTTCTTTTCTTTCTTTTTCTTATTACATTAAAGATTATATGGAATATTTAACTTTATTTAATATAAAATAAAGGAATATTTAATTCTATTTAAAGTTATTGTGCCAATAATTGATTTATGAGATATTCCATTCTTGTATGAATATTTTCTGAACATTGTCTCTCGCGGAGAGATAAATGTGAAAAAATTTATTTCTACGAGATTATAAATGTTCGAAAAATCAAGGGGCGTCTCCAAAGTTCTCTCTGTAATTTTTTATTTTAATTCCGTAATTAAAATAATTGTAAAAAATACTAAAGAAGCTTATATTTCTAGAATGGAAATAAAGTGTGATCAGGTTACAAATCTTTGAAGATCACAAGCTTAAGATTAAAAAATTTTGTAATTTCGTAGAATGAAGTTCTGCTTGTAAATTCCCTTTTATGATCTAATTTATCAAACGGCAAGCTATATTAATCATAAACTGTCTTACGATTAACGTTAAGCTTCGTTATCTTCGAGTGTCCGCTGTTAAAGCTTTTAAAAGCACGGGTATTTTAATTATTATCATGCATGCCTCAAGGAAATATATAAGGCCTACGCACGTTTCTCCCCATATTATGCAATCGCGTTTCGTGTGTGCTACTTTTTAACACGGGGGTTCATGTCGTGAGAGATTTAATGATAAAACTTGGCGACTTCCCACTCTCGCGAGGCTTTTACCGCTTTTCTTAAAAATACCGGTCTGCATGCCCACGTGATGTCGATGCAGTATTTCAACGTTAATTACCGTTCGAACACTGCCATCATCTCTCGACGCTTGCGGAGGCGATGTGGATCAGATGGGAACGCTTTACTCCCGTGTGAAATGCGCGTATTCGGGGTGTATATGTTGCACATTCACGGGAGAGGTATAAATATGAGAGGCAAAGCGGAAGACACGTCGCGCGCGACTCGACTTTTATGTTTTGACCGGTTTTCCTTATTTACGAGGCAACCGCGTTCGCGAATGATATGCACTCTCGGAAGTGATATCGCTGAATCGCATCGCATGTACGGGACAGGCTCGCGTTGCCTCTTTGACAGCGACAGCTGTCTTTGCAACGTCAATCGCGCGTCATATACACCCCGGAAGCAAAACAAACGTCAGTCATTCACCGTCGATTCCGGGAGGAAGTCGTAAGAAGGGCGATGAGGAATTGTGCGGAGGAATGACTTGACGGACGTTTAGAAGGACTCGAGTCTGTTCTTTCATTCACGAGTAATATCGAATATAATATTAAAGCACAATTAGATGCGAGTTGCATGCACGTTCCTCCACCCGGTGCGGCTTCTCTCGGACGTCGTAATCCAATATACTTGCAAACACGGACGGAGAAGGAGGCCCTAGTACGTTAAATTCAATTCGCGCTTCAGTGGAATAACAGATTTTACATTTGGCCTTTTGAATTCACTAGCGAAAAGTTCCGGCGACTCCGCGACTGGGACTGCACCGGTTTCGCCCTGCAATTTTTAAGCCATGGGAACCTCGGCATTACGTGTCGATCGTTAAATTGGCATATCTTTATGTCAGCATATCCGGTCTTTACAATTCTAGTTAAGTTGGTTAACTCTGTAATAAGGATCGATCTATCTTTTCCTTTATATCACTATTATTTTCGCAGCCATCATTATCACACTCCTATCGAATTTTGCTTTTTCCTCTCCCGACAATTTTAAGAAGAGCCTGCTGAACGTTTCCAGGGACGTTTTTTTTTCCGCGACACGTAAATTTATGTGTAGGAAGAATACCTATACGTTAGGAGGGGCGCGAATATTAATCTTAAAGTTCAAAGGTAAAGGCGAGGAGGGTAATATCAATTTCGTGCGATTTTATGCAATTTTACTTTATAGCGTACAGCGATCGCGCATACGTACGTACATGCCACTGGGTGCACCGATGAACGGTGAGGAGCCGGATTCGCGGGGGATGATGACGGACAATCGGTGGTTCCCGAGGGACGAGACGTAGGGGGATATGTCCGGCTGCTTGTCGTCATCTATGACAGGCTCGACAGATGCGGGGCCGCCGCAGCCCCAGGAAGACCCCGCGCCGCTTCCCGTCGCTCGGCCGCCGCCGTCCTTATCGGAGGGCAACGGTTCGTCCGCACGGCGAGGTGGCCGTCATCGTCACCAGCCGCGACGTAGGATGACGTCCGCTCCGCCGTCCGGACAGACGATACAGCTGACACCACTTTGGGAGCACGTGGTACGCCGCACGTTCGGGATAAAGAGTCTTCTGTATCACTTGCCGTGCAGTTCGATGTCTTATCTTAGTTATCTTTCATTAGTTTTACTTTTTTGCATGCAAATGAATTTAATCTAATAAGCTGATCGTCTCCGGCCAGGTGCGTACGCGTAGATTCCCGTCCGAGGTCGACACGCAGGCCACCTTCGTCGAGATCTCCGAGAGACTGCGGGATCCGGAATGGGAGGTGCGCCAACACGCCCTGCGGGTGCTGATGGACGTTCTGCCGACGCTGAACACCGATGTCGTTGACAAGGTCATGCAACCGGTGGTGCCGGAGCTGATCAATAATTTGGGGCACCCAGCGCCGGCGGTTCGTAAGGGTGCTCTGGACACATTGCGGGTCTATCTGGTTCACAGCCCGAACAGGGAGAACATGGTCAAAAACGTAAGCGTCCGTAACACATTTTTTAAATTTTCTTCGATTTGTAATTTCTCATTAAATCTATATTTATAATCTTGATCTATTTGTTTCTTAAAAATTTAATTTCTTCAATTAACGAGAAATTTACCAGGACATTTTTTCGTAATATTATAATACAATGATTTTTTTTTATATAAATTTCTAATGCTTCTAAATTAAAATGCTATGTGAATTTCTAAAATTTTCCCTGATTTTAATTTTTATAAAGATAATGATGCGCTATTAAAAAATGCTTTCATTTTCCAGATCCTTCACGACGGCCTGAATCGCCCGGATGCTCACAATCCGTTTCAAACAAACGTAACGACGGGCGTGATCCTGAGCGCACCTCTACTGCTATTTCCATCCTCGAATAGTCCTCCCCCGACAATGCAGATCCTGAAGGATGCCACGATCGCCTTCGCCTCGCGGTTGGTCCAGGTACCACACCAAGAGGCCGTTCTGAAGTCCCTCATGAAGATCCGAGACGCAGTCGGCGAGGAAGAATTCGAGAGCTATCTGGCGGATTACGACGACAAGTTTAAGAAGAACATCGATGTCCTTTCCAAAATTTACAACATCAAGCCGAGCAGGAAGAGGCAAGACAAGAACCGCACGCAGGACATTATGAAGGAGCGCGCCATCGACAAATCCTGGGACAGCGACAGCGACACCTCCGGCATCGCCGAGGAGGAGGACGAGATGCCGAACGCCGGAGGCGCGATACCGCCGGCGAGAGTCGTTCTGGAGACCGAGATCAAGTTCAACGAGGAGACGGCCATTACGATGACAATCCTGGAGGAAAAGGACGACGACAGCGACGTAACCGGCACTAACAACGTGAACAACGGCGTCGTTGAGAGATCGTCGTCCGCGGAGCAACGCAAGACGCCCCGACGCGTCCACTTTGGCGGCGAGATCGTCAAGTTGAGGACCCCCGACAGCGACGAGACGGAGTCGATCGAGATAACGCCCAAGACGAGGATCCCACTTCCGGTGTCGCCAGCCACCAAGATGCCGGAAACGAGGAGACGGCCGTTGTCGCAACCCAGCAGCCCTCACGCGGAGAAGCGAGGGTCGAAGAGAGCTTCCAGGTCGGCGTCCAGCAGCCCCAAGAGAGAGTACACGCACAACGCGCAGCTGAGTCCCAAGAAGAGCATCCTGACGAGGCCGGGTGGCCCTCTTATCGTGATCAATCCGGTGACGGAGGAAGCCAAGAAAGAAGCGAAGAAAGTTAGAAAGAGCGGCGAAGCGATTGCAGAAAACGAAACTCCTCGCGTAATCAGTAGCTCGCAAGAAGTTAACGAAGTATCGGAGAAAGAAGAAGTCATGTTAGTTCAGGCTGCTGCGCCGCCAGCGAATAGTGAAAACAAATTGGCAAAGAGTAACAACGAAAACGATCCGTCTGTGTCAGCTCAGGTTGCACCGATAGAAGCCTCGAAAGGGGAGCAAGCGATGATCCTTGAAAGAGATGACCACGCGAACGCGATTGACTCGAATAAAAGCGATGTTTCTGGAGGCTCTTCGAGGCAAGAGAGGAATTACACAACGACAAAATCGAGTCCAGAAAAGAAGAAGCTACCCCGAGAGAACAAAGACGACGAGTTGGAAAGGGGAAGTTTGAACGAGCAGAAGCTATCGGCGAACAGCCTCTCTCGCAGGTCCAACAGTTTCCCCTTCGGGTCGCCGGTGAACAACGATGAGCGAATAAATCGTCTGATCGACGCTGACTTCATCGACGAGGACGACGATTACGACGACGAGCGGGACGTGCGTACCTTCGGCATGACTACGGACGATCGTGCGGTGACCGTCGTGAAATACGGCGACGGCAAGGACTTTGTTAGGGACGAGGACGAGGGATGGAAAGAGCGGCGCAGTCAGCATGACAGAAAGGAGGGTAACGCGTCGGAGGGGAACGAAAGTGTCACTTGTAGCAGCAGCGAGGGCGAGGGTAAACCGCAGGAACCCAGCTGGGAGGAATTGGGGTTGGTCGGCCAGGAGGTATTGGACGACCTGCACAACAAGGTGAGAGGTCGGATATTTCCACGGTTAATAAATGCACTCAATATTTCATGCGTGTTCAAATTTATTATATAAAACGTACTATAATTTTATTTATTTATTTTTGTAAAATATTTAGCGTAAATGTATCCCTCGATAAATGCAATATTTTGCGCATACGATCCTCGAAACTTATTAATTATAAGCTGTAGATTATATTTTTCGTATTATTCTTAAAATTCCCCCAAAAACGCATAACGCTAAATTAAGCTAATTAAAGATGATATAGATATTTAATGTCGAACTATATAGTATAAATTGATTCGAATAGCAAAGAGATTAACCTTTGACGCTATGAACTATGATATCCAGCTAATTCAGCTAGAGTAGTTTCATAGACTTCAATATATCACAGTTGGGAAAAATCGTGACGTTACCGTTCGAAGAAATTCACGTTGGACGTGGAAATTCGCGTGAGATTCACACAGCACCGTTTCAGGCGCGTGTCAGCAGGGTAATGCCCTGCTTCGGCTTGTCGCTGATGCCTGACGATTAACGTGTCCACTCGAGGACCCTTGACTTTAGGACGAACCGCCGGTCCGATACATTAGGTATGGTGAGAAGTAGGTCGATCGATTTTCGTCGTCGACAAAAGTTCGTCGCGTGACGTAACGTGATTTAAGCTCCATCAATTATCAGGATTACGTGTGCACGTATACGAGCTTAACGTATCTTTCTCCTTTCCATTTTTTTTCCCCTTAAAAATCTCACGAACGAGATGCCTGCTCTGTGTGGGCCATCGATTTACAGTGCTCGAGACACGATTAATAATTATATTATTACAAAATTGCGCCAGACTGCCGTCACGCAGAGCTCGTTATGCTCGATCGGCTTTAATTAATCGACAGACGTAGCGTATTCGTAGTAAACGTCGGGCGAGTAATCGAACAGCTCAAAGTCCAGCCTCAGCTTCTCGTACAATCTCCGCACCATCGCCCCGTTCAACTGGCTGAAATATATCCTGGAGGCGTTAGCGTAACTATTACTGTGCCTCCACCTGGGCTTGATCCTGTCCTGCAATCCTAACTTATTGATCGCGTACACCTGATCTCGCCACAGCGATTCCACCTGCAAAATTATTATTACGTCCCTCTAAAATGATCGCCGATATGAAAATGATCCCGTTAGAAATTTTAGAGATCTAACATTTCCGAGATATTTAACGCGAAACGTTAGAGAGAGACGACAATTAGCGGTTTCGGATAGCAGTCTTCAATACCTTCGCGATGATGTCGTACTTGACGAGGCACGGCGTGCAAAAGAGATAATACGGCATCCAGTGATCGTCGCCGTAACTTCCTAGGTCAGTCTCGATCATGTAATCGACGAACTCCCGGAAGGTCGGTTCCTTCCCGGTCGGCGGCGGTACCCCCTCGCGTCGGATCACCTGATCCGGCCGTGGCTCCGTGAAATTTTCCCCTGAAAGTTCATCGAATCCGTTGCCGTTCTCTCTTTCTCTTTTCTCATAAAATTGAAATATACTCGACACGTTTGCAAGATTTAAAACTTAAATGCGCGAAGATAAATCTCATTCTCGCGATAACGTGGTTATCGCGCGGAGTGAGGAAAGGGATTTTCCGTCGGCCTTTTTATTAGCTAATCTCTTCCCGCGACTTACTGCGATACTTCCGCACGATCTTGGCCCCGTATTTACGATAGAAATGAAGCGTCTCGTGTTCCCGCCTGGCGACGGAGTTAAAACTTAAACGCGCGAGGATAAATCTCGTTCTCGCGATAACGCGGTTATCGCGCGGAGTGAGGAAAGGGATTTTCCGTCGGCCTTTCTATTAGCTAATTCTCTTCCCGCGACTTACTGCGATACTTTCGCACGATCTTGGCCCCGTATTTACGATAGAAATGAAGCGTCCCGTGTTCCCGCCCGGCGACGGAGTTCTCCAGTTTGTCGCGATAGGCGCTCAGCAGCCTCTCGAACGGATGCCGCACGACCAGCAGCCTCCTGCTGGCGTTCAGCACGCGATCGGCCTCGGGATACTCGAGTTCCGGTATCGCCCTCCGGGCGATGGTCGACAGCTGCTCCTTGCCGCTGTTCAGCGTCTCCTCGGGCACGTTCATCAACAGGCAAAGATTGTACAGCCAGGTCGTGGTCCCGGCTTTGTACACCGGACAGTACGATATGTTGTGTACTCTGCGCAGGAATTGTCATCTTATGGATATCTTGATTCCTTATCGATCGTTAACAGTCGAAGTATTTATTTCTTTTTCGTTTCTGATTTCTTTTTACAAACCTGTCCATGTAGAAGACGGCATACTGCGGCGCGGGTGGATGCTTGAACGGCGAGTCGTCGGCGAGCTTCCGATAAAATCCCAAGTTATACTTTTTGCACACTCTTTCGACGTTCAACGATCGCCGCGTGTTGTCCGCTTCAGCCTCGAACTGAGATAAACGAGATTTCAGAAATTACACTCGATCTCCTTGAGATTCGAGATCTCTCGGTGGGCGGACTCGCGAAGTGGTTGACTCACCATCAGCTTCCTCAGATCGTCGTCGGCGGGCAGAGGTCTGCTCTCGTCGCCGATAACAGCGAAGGACAGCTTCAGCGTCAGTGAGACGACTGCGAGACAGCCGGCGATTTGAAGTATCCGGAAGAGCGCGCGCTTCCGTTGCCGCGACATGATCTCGTCGGCACGGTGGTTCTTGCGTTCGCAGCCTCGCGAGTGTATCGCCTGAACGTATCCTCCGCTTTTGTGACTTGTCAAAGAATTTTCTAAAACCCACGGAACGAGCATTCTCTCCGCCTTCTGCCGCGGCGCCGACTGACCGGTTTCGTGCACCGTTTCCCGACAGTGATGGATCTAAAGTACTGCCAGCCCCCAGCAGTCCGTTTGGTACCAGACGTTTGTAATAAAGTACTGTTATAAATGCGCGTGACTTTCTTGTGACTCGAATAATTCCGCCGGCCCACATTGGATCTACTTGCTGCACACAACGAAACAATAGATTCGTGTATCATTTCTTCAAATGTCTCGTAATATCTAACATTGATCGCAGATGTTAAAAACGCGATCGGTGCCAAAGTTGTGCACATGTTTTAATCTCTTCTCCGCGAAGCCTTCATATTATTTTATTCAATTTTAATCAATTTTAAGGAGATATAGGAATAATGGATAAACCGGTTCGATGAATAAGTCCACTCCTGAAGCTCGAGTGGGGAACGTTCACGGCCGAAGAATCCCAGTTCGCTCTAGCATACTAATTCCGTTAGCTCAGCTGTTTGAACGGTGCATCGCGTCAATAAAGACCTTCAAGTCAATACAGAACGACGAATCCCCGGTACTATTAATAATTGATCAGCGATAAGACTTATCGTCGCGAAAAAGTCGATCCCAAAAAAAGCCTGATATAGATCAATTATAATAATACAAGATCGATGTTCTGCTAAATCTAGTAAGCAGACATTGTACTCGCGGTGCTAATGCATGTATACGATTAAAGTTCCATCATCGCGGTCGCAAGTGCGCCGTATGTTCATTCAGCAAGTAACTTCAAGGTCGCTGCACTAGACCTTTTTATGAATGCACGTGCGACCTCGTCGACGCGTGTCTGCGAGAGGCCTATGAAAATAAATACCGATGCCCACCCGATCGATTTCCGTGGGACGTCGTTCGCCGCAATCCCAGGAAGAGGAAATATATATACATATATATATAGGCGCGTGTAGTACATATATATATATATCTATCCTAGCCGGCTTCGACTTTTCGTAACATCGTATTACGCTGCATAATTGATCCGCGATGTCACCTGCGGGTTCTATCTCACCTGAACTAGCTGCTTTAAAAGTCCAATGTTCAACATATAGAGTCGATTCTCGGCAAAAATTTGAGAAAGCTTTTATTTAAATATTTAGAAAATTATAAATTTGCAATTAAATTATAATAATTTAATTATAATAATTTAATTGCAAATTAAATATTTAGAAAATTAAATTTTCAATTAAATTATTATAATTTAATTATTACTATAGTTATATAACTTATAATTAAATTATTATATGTTATTTGAAATTAAATTATTATAGACAACAGAATTTTTTCAAACGAAAATATAGGTACTTAATGATTTTTGCAAGCAGACAAATGCGAACAAACACAAACATCTTGTTTCAAACGGGAACGGCGTCGCGGTTGAGTACTCGCAATTCATTAAACAGAGTTGCTTGTCCGTGTTTGTTCGCGCTTGTCCGCATCCACTTTAACACCTACTATTTACGAGAGATGCGAATATTCTTCTTGAGGACTTGACTTTCCTTTTCTGATTGATTCATGAAAAGATAAATAACGTCGTTTCTGTTCTTCTTTTTTTTACGACATAAAGTCGAGTTTACGCGCGCAAACGTACTCTTGTGCCATGCCGCGGCGATACGACTCTTATGAGCCCAGGCGGCTGATATCGGCGCCCGTATGAATATTCCGCGGGTGAAAAACGATGAGAGATCTGCGGATCGTTATGCCGCGGACGGGCGTAAGTACAAGAGAGGGAGGGGGGAAGGGGAAACGCGCGCGGTAAGCCGCAAGAAAATAATTAGGCACGTGTTGCGTGCCGCGTCGTCCAGGTCCAGGAAGGCGTCATTCCCGCGTGTATATGCAAATCCTCGGCAATTGTACCCGTCGCGTTGCACCGACGTAGCCCGTAAGTGCAATTTTCAAACTATTCCTCTGATTCATCGTGGCGCAAGTAGGCAGATATATCGGTAGATATATGTACGCATCGCTTAAGACTCGTCGCGTTCGTTCGCCGTCCGTCCCGGTCCCGTCGACTCTTCGAAAACGTCTCTTCGAAGAAAAATGCACGAGAACGGACGGGAATGTTAAAAAAGAAAAAAAAATCGGAGAGGTAATTGCATGTAACGATCGTGAGGGATATGTAAAAAAAATATTAATGCGAGGTTCCGTATCGATTCCGCGGTTATAGAGCTCTATAGAAGTGCACACGAGTGAGAATGCGGATGCATTGCGTTCAGTTCCGCTGCGACGATCAATATAAAGTCGACTCCGTGAATTTCTTGCGACACCGCTCACCTGCTCGTAATCGAGCCTGGCCGCGATTCTTTTACTTTGATTTACTCTCATTAAGGGGACGAGGTGGAAGAAAATCGCGGATTCAAGCAAGACTCATGAAGATCGATGTTATACCTACGTAAATAAAAATGACTCACGTACGCGATTTAAAGTGGCGCTTTAGCGATTAGATACTCAAGTATTTGACCAGTTAATCCCGAGAACAGCCGGATAAATGCGGCTTACTCTTATCACGTGTAATTGTTGAGAAGATTTGCATGTGCACGCGAGACGATTGCACGGACAGAAGAATGAAACAATCGGCGAAATCGATCTGCCTTACGATAAAATAAATACTTTCATCTCCTCGGACATTTCGGTAAGCAAGCTAACGACTTTTCACCTTCAACGAGGATCTTACGTTTATAAATTATTTAAGCAACATTATATTTAGGCGCGCATGAAACTTTCTAATAAAGATTTAAATAACACTCCTGTGTGTTAAATAAAAATTTTTCTCTTATCACGCAATTAAAATAAAATGACAGAATTTTTTCTCTTGCGATTAGCTACCTGATAGCGTCGATCAAAGTGTAACTGATAAAATGTCACGAGGGAGGGATGATTATGACGTATGCGTCGCAGGGATCTCAATCATCCTTTCGTCTATCTATCTTGTCATTATCCTTTCCAGGACGACTGGCGAGCGCGTGTCAGAGGCCTGGAGAGAGTCGCGTCGGCTCTGCGGACGTCCTCGGCGCTGATCGCGATAGAGTCGCGATTAGGATCGCTCTTGCATGCGGCGCTCGGCGGCGAAAGGAGCTGCCGCGTGGCCGCCGCCGGCTTAGCGGTGGCGAAGGTGAGCTCGTAAACTCCTCGTGATCGCACCCTAAATGCACCGAGATCTCGGCTAATTCATCGGCCGGGCGGCAGACGCGCTGGCGGATAACGTCGCGCGAGCCTTGTTATTACGTAATGTATATCCCGCGCGATACAGCGGGATGATATCCGTCATCCTGGTCTCAAACATTGACATCTCCTAATTCTCGAAATGTTTGAAAAAGTTTCTTACAGAGTCTAAATTGTTGGAGAAGCTTCGGCATTTCTCTCGATTCTTGAAATTAATATTCGAGCTTTTTAAAATTCACTTAAGTTTCAAAAGTTTTGGTATACCGCGAGATTCCCAGCGAGCATTATCGATATCATCCTCATTCTCGACTCTTATAGAAGCACTTCAAACTCGAGTTACAAGTTTTAAGCGCGAGCAGCAAGGACATCTATGTACGTACATCCCATTACGCGCGAAAGTTGCGTATAGAAGACACTTTTAGCGGAGACGGAAGGAAAATAACATTCTGTAACTTTTTCATAATACCAAAGGTTCACGACGCGGTTATATGTTGCTCAACTTTTCTAGAACTCTAAGCTCTTTCACACGTGTGTTTTTAGAAGTTACTTCATATTTCAGGTGGTGGTCGCCGGTGTCTCGGAGGACGCGCTGCGGAAGAAATTGCCGCAGCTGGCCTGGGGTCTGGCCAGGCAGGGTGGTTCAGCCGCGGCGCAGCTCACACGGATCGCGATGCTACGGCTCAAGCCCAGCCTGCTGTTGGAACAATTGATGCAGCCTCATTGTCTGAGCGCCAGAAACGCCAAGGTAATTTGAAGCACACTAATTCACTCGTCATGAAGATCATTTTTTATCGTAAAATCATCATACAAATCATCAAAACGGACGTTAAACTCGCGCGCTTCTTCTCACGCAGACGAGAGAGAACGCGTTGCAGCTGCTGATCTTCTCGCTGGTGACGTTCCCCAGCACCGAGTTCAAGCTGGAAACCGTGGCCAGCCGAGTGGCGACGATGGTCGCGGATCGACGACGCAGAGTACGCCAGGCCGCGCTCGACGCCCTGGCTGTTTTGGGACAGATCTACGATCCCGAGGTAAAACTTCTAGTTTCTTCTGATTTTGAGCATTAATCTTGAAGCTCTCTGAAAGCGAAATAACGCCTCGTTCGTTCGCAGGAGGTTCTCGAAGCGGGAAGACGGGCGGGCGACGGAAGCCCCGACGCCGAGGCGATGCTGGCCGCGATCAGAGCACGGCTGGCCAGGAAGTCATTACCTCTGGTATCGGCCGATGGTCTCGTGGTGTACGGTTTGCAAATTTCACCGACTGTTCAGATCACTACTGGTAATAACAACCGGGAATAAGCGAGCAAAGTGTAGTGCACCCGCGCGGATAAAATCTCACGATAAAATATAAATCTCATATCGCGTCGGCGGTACTCTGGACAAACAGACTTTATTGTATGAGAGTCGCGTTGTGTTGCGGTGGAAATTTCGCTCTATATCGTTATCCATTGCAATAGATTTTCAAGTTTAAAATATGAAAAGATGATTGGAAGCGCAATCAATATTTTAAGTTAAATCTTCTTCCATATAGCTGTGCAGAGGAAATCACGCAGTACTTTGATTTTTTTAATAGACGTTTGAAAGCAACCACGACATCGCGTGACATTTTGGTGTAAAACGCGAAGTTTGATATTACACGATTATCTGCATATGTATCATAAAATCTATTCTTGTTAACTACACATATTATCCCCCTTCTCCCCTTCTCTAAAAGTGCGCGGGCATACGTTCATTTCGTTTCGAGTACAACGCACATGTAGCTGGAGATTTTTTTCGTGCAATTAATAATTCTTTATTATATATATATATATATATATATATATATATGTATATTCACTCAAAATGTGTCTTGAATTTTTACGAAACGTCAATTTTTCATAGGTCCCGACGTCGATTGGATCGTGGCGGGAAGCGGTTCAGTCTCGCCTGGCACCGGCCGTAGCAGAGGTCAGATTATCGCCACGTCCAGATCGGCACAGGGAAGAGCATCTAGGTAAACATTTACTTATAGAATTGCTAGAACTTAGAATTTAGAACTTATGTTAGAGAGAATTGTACGCGACTGTTCGATACTTATATATGTATTTGCCTAAAATAATCCTAAGCCTAAAAATAATCCAAAACATCGTGTCATTTTAGAAACGAATTCCTGAATAACCGCGAGAGCCTGTGGATAGACAGACCCAATCTTGTCGCGTTGGGTGTCGGACTGCAATCCAAGACTGAACAATCGACGGCCTGGCAGAAGATACTGCCGTCGCAGATTATCGTAAGTTTGGATCGCATATTTTTCGTTTTATTTCTTTCGCTTTTTGTACGACATGTGATAAATATTATATATAAAGAAGACTGATTGATGAATAATATAAAGAAAAATAATAATATCAATTCTAGTAATTATAAGAACAAATTTTTTATTTTATAACAGGATTTTATCTTGCGATGGTTTTATGTATACAATCCGTATATTTTCACGTGTTCCACATTCGGTAAAGAGTATCTAGATTGGCGTGTTGTTAAATAATTCCCAGAGACATTAGCAATATCAATTTACGAGAGAAGTATTATTGATTTCTCATTAAATACGGCGCGCTGTTATTTTTTCAATGTCATTGTTGTTACTCGTCAAGATTATCGGCTTTGCAATGCAAATGTCGAAATATCAAATACACAACGAAGTAGGAAGTAGCGGTGGAATAATACATCTTTTCTCTCAAGCTTCATTTTGCATATCGCAACCGTACGGAACGTTCGTAAGTATTCCTCAAGTGTGAATTATGAGTAAGGGGCCTTAAACACGGAAGGCACACTAACACCCTGCGTGATTCAATAACATCATATTTTCGCAATTTGCATTTGCGTCTTGGTTAATAGTCGTCAACGAATATTTAAGACCGTTGAGTTTTATAAAATCGCTGGCGGTGTAACGTAGGAGAGGGAACGCTGCCTAAGGTCCTCTTAAAATTTAATACTTTTATGTCAGCGGCGCATGTAGAGTTCGTTTGTTTTTTTAATCAAGCTCGATGACGTATCGCGGCATGAGACGCAAAATATTCTCAGGTTATTCTAATTTCTCATTTTTTGTTATTTTTTACGTACGAACCTCGAAATAAAATTTCGACGATTATGTCGCGCTTAGAGACCACGTGTTTGTCAGGGACGGCGCAGGTTAGAGTATCGCGCGATTTACACAGGCTCGACTGTCGTATTTAAGTGAGTATCCTTTTCTGTTGCAGAACAATGAAAATGAGATAAAGGGACTGAATGGACGAAACGCGAATGCAGGTAAATGCAATCCCATCCGATTATATTCCAACTGACCGGATCTGGTTAAGCTTAACAGAGAGATTTGAAGGGATAATTCAAATTTTCCAGGGGTGTCTTCAAATGCCAATTTAAGATTCGAGGAGCAACTGCGATCGTTTTACACGCCGTTGAATCAGTACGATTTTGTCGGGACGGATGCTAAGAATCATCGAGAGATTTCTGACAATTTCGAGCAAAAAGCGCGAAATCGCAGAGACGTTAATGAAACTGCTAAAGAAAAGGTAAGAATCTTTTAAAGACAAGAAGATATTAAATTATATATTTTTAGTCGCTTAATTTACGTAAAATTATACCACAAAAAATTATTATAAATATCTATGTATTTATATATTGTATTTATATAATAATATGAGAATATTAGGCTCTAATATAATAAATCAAACAATAAAATAAAGGCCTTTGAGAGCCGACGCAGTTCTGGTGACGTAAATGTTCCTTTATTATATAAATTTCAGACGTTTCGACTCTTGGATCTCTTGGTCCTCATCAGTACACGTATCTTAACAAGTACGAAATAACGAGATATACCTTCAATATTCAATTCGCTCTTTTTCATTCTTGAAATGATCAGAAAGTTAGTGCGTCAATTTGAAAACGTCAATGCTGAAAATGAAACCCTATATTGACTTCTCATTTTAATCTCAATCTTATTAATCCTTTTTATATTACTTGACATACACAGTATAAGGTTTCATTTTCAGCATTTCCAAATCAAATTAACACAGCTTTCTAATCAATAAGAATGAAAGAGCAAATATTGAATATTGAAGTTATGCAGCTTTCGAAGCGGAACAATACAATTGTTAAAATACGTGTACGTGTCGTTAAGATACTGATGAGGATCCAATCCAAGAGTCAAACGTATATTGAAATTTATAATAAATGAACATTTATATCACAAGAACTGCGTCATCGGCTCTCAAAGGCATTTATTTCATTATTTGATCAAATTAAATAAAATACAATGGCTATGGGAGTTAGCGCGGTAAGTGGTGCGCAATAAAAAATTAAATTAAATACAAGTAATTTTTAATAGTATAATTACATAGTAGCATGATAAAAAAAAATTACATAGCTGTTTTTTGTAATTTTATTCAATCAAGCTACTGTGTAATTAAATTATCAAAAATTGCTTGCATTTAATTTAATATTTTATTGTGCACCACTTACCGCGCTAACTCCCATAGCCATTGTATGTTATTTAATTTGATTGATTAAAGGAATTAAAGTTTGGAATTATTTCATTCTTTATTTCATTATTTGATTTATATATTATATAATCGAATAAGACTGCCTAAGTGAATAACACAACTAACTTCGAGAGCGACCAGAGATATCGGATTTTTATTTGATCGCTATCTCTTTCGGAAGGCAATGGCAAATTGCAAATCACCAAGAGTATATCTTTGTATGAAAACCCCTCTAATTATTGAATTAATTTTAATTCATTTATTAGTAGGAAATTTCAAGAAACACTTTATTTAATTCTGCAGAGAATGATAATTATACCTCAATGTTGTTCGCCCTTTGACAGAGAGTGGAGAAATATTACAATTTCAAAAAATATATAATATATAACACAACTAACTTTGAGAGCGCCTTTTTACGGTCACGGCTGGATCTTAGATGCCTAATAAATTCTATATATGAATTTTTTAAAAATCCATGTACAGCCGTTAATCAGCACGCTGTGTAATGCCTGTACATGGTTTTCAGAAAAATTCCTTGTATATAGAATTCGGGTCTTCGGCACAGAAACCAGGCGCACAACTCGCTGCGCCACGACCGGTTCAAAATATCTAACATATATGTATTATACATATATATATACA